GGCAGTCACAGCACCTTCAGTGAGTGTCAGCACATCTGCTGCTCCAGGCTTGGGCAGTGACTCGACAGCAAGTGAGAACAGAAGAGCCAAAGATGGCGGCTGAGGGGCAAGGAGGGGGGCTTGCTCCTGCATCTCTGAGTATACAGGAGGTCATCTGACTCACTGAACTACTATGAGGAGTAGAGAGGGGCTGCCGGTTCATATAGTAGATAGAGGAAGAACTAGAGAAATATTCATAGAGGATGGTTATTGTGACTTAAGTTTTAGTCCCAAGCTGGAGATGTCTGGGAACTTTAACATTTCCCACATCACAGTGTGAGGTGCCCAAGGATGATGTCTAAATTTGGGAAGCTTCTTAATTTGGGGCCACTCAGTTCATATAAGTAGTTTTACGGTCTAAAGTAGGCATGTACCCCCCCAAAACATATACATTATAATGATACAGACACACCAAATAATACAGAAAATATTTACACATGGTAATTAACACATAACACAGAAACATTCTCCAAAAATTATGGAGCTTTTGCTACCTCTTGAAGAACGGTATCTACTGATTCTGTCTGATATCCAACTGACTAGTGTCAATCTTTGAACAATTTGAAATTAGCATCCACCAAATGGGGAAAACGAAAAAGATAGGCAATACTAAATGTTGGCCAAAATGTTGACCTAGATTCTAATACAGTGCCCATGGGAGTGTGAACTGGTATAGCCTCTCTGGAAAACTGTCTAGTAGTATTGACTAAGGATGAACAGATGCATTTCCACGCCTAGTACATACCCAACAGCAGTATGTACATATGTTTATCAAAACATAACGTTGACAAGGGTGTTTATAGCAGCACTATTCATAATAGCCCAGCCCTGGAAACTACCCAATGTCTATTAACAGTAGATTGGATGAATGAATTATAGCACATGTATACTGCCATGAGAATGAACAAGTACAATCCCACACCAAAACATGAATGAATCTCACATACATAAAGTTGAGCAACAGAAGCCAGACACAAAAGACTGCATTTACATACAATTCGCAAGCAAGCAAAACTAAGCAATAGTTTCAGAAGTCAAAACAGAGGTGACCCTGGGGGTGGCTTGTGTTCGGAGACATAAAGGAGACTTCTGGGGGCTGGTAATATTCCATGCCTTGACCTGGGTGCTGGATATACAAGGATGAAATTTTATCAAGGTTATGATTTGTCACTTCTGAGACATTCCACCAGTTAAACTAGTCACTAAGGCCAGCCTGTATTTAAGAGGAGGAGTATCATACTCCACCTCGTGATGGAGCATGGCAAAGTCACGGTGCCGAAGAGTCTGTGGGATGAGTGAAATTGTCACATCCATTCTAATTATAAAATACAACAGCATTATAAAATTTAAATAGTATTCTAAATATATTTTACAATCTACTACACTTATCCAGTGGAAATTAGAACTCAGTATCATTCTGGGGTAAATCAGAAACTTCAGGAAGGGAAAGAAGAAAAGAACACTAGCAACCAAAGCACACAAGACAAGGAAGGATGCTACAGTTTGAGTCACATGCTTTCCATGGACCATTAACTGTAACCAGAGGAATCGAGTACATTTATGGGTCAGTCCCAGTCACATGCCCAACACGACCACATGAAATGAGAAAGAGGCAACTCACCAAAGGGAGAAGCAATAGAAAAACCATATATGCCCACTGTAGATGTCATATACTGTATCTGATGGTTATCACAAGAGAAATTCTTAAACTTGGCATGTCAAGAATGGGGAGATAGGTTCTCTCCAAGTTGCAGTCAACTCTAAGATTCCAGCGTTTTCTCTCTAACACACACGCCAAATCCATTAAATATTTTTTAAATGTCTCTATCTGTAAAACTTGCATCCAAGTGCAACCTCTGATGGCAATCATGTTTCATTTCTCTTTGAGCATCTCTCAAAATACTCATGTGTCTAGGAACATATGTTAACACTTTTCCCTCTGATAGTTTGGCTAAATCTTCCACATTGTTTTGACCACATACATTTCTGTCAACAGCCATGAGCCATACACCAAAAAATTGACTGAAGACTACAGGTGTGGCAGGCTGAACTGCAGCCCCCTCCCCCTACTTCCTCCTCTCAGGGAGAATCTTGGGAATTAGAGAGAAACTAGGTTACTATGACGCCATTTAACCAGATAGCTCAGCCAGAGGCTTTGTCAGTTTACGTAGGACCCTCCATAATGAAGAGAACAAGCTAAACAGACGAGAATATTTTAGCATAATAAGGCCAGGACTCCTTCCTTTGTAAGAAGCAGACTTAAAATCATGTTACTAGAAGAAATAGACACTTCTCTCATAGACTATATGACATGGGTAGGCAAACTTTTTCTGCCTAGGACCAGAGAGTAAATATTTTAGGCTTTGCAGGCCATACAGTTCCTGCTCAACTGCACAACTCTACCAGTGTAGTGTAAAGGCAGCCACACACAATACTTCAGCAATGGAGTGTGGCTGTGTTCTAATAAAACTTTATTTACAAAAATAGGGATTTGGTCCATGAGCCATAATTTGCCAAACCCTGGACTAGATGAAAAAGAGGTGAGATGTTTGTCTTTGGGTAGTTAGAGAGAAAGCCTGGACTGACCCTGCTAGTGGAGAGAACAAACAGAAGTTGAAATACTTTCAGTTTATTCCAGCCCTCCACCCTCTATCCCCTTCCTACCATGGGACTGGAGCTCGTCCTCCCCTCTCGGAAGAATCAACAGAAGGCAGAACAGATTGAGACTACGTTCACATCCAGCTGAGGCCAGAGGTGGTAGAATGTCCACCACCCTCGAAGGGCTGGGATTTCACTAATTCTGAGGGGGAAGTTTTGTTCTGAGGAATAGAAGGGCTCCTGATGCTGAAGATTAAAGAGATCTGCGGAGACAACACTGGGAGAAGCAGAAAGAAGGTGGGAATTAGGGAATGAGGGAGTATCAGATATCCTGAAGCCCACTCAGAGAGTACCTACCCAAAGTCCAGGTCTCAGTCTTTCCTTGGACCCTCCCAGAATGCTTCAGAAAAGAGGCTCTTAAGCCCCCCACAAGGCCCTGCTTCATTTCCTACCACTCTCGGCCTCACTCAATTAGCTTCTCATACTGGCCTCTTTGCTGTTCCTTGAACACACCTAGCACATTTCCCACCCCAGGGCCTTTGCACCGCCTTACTCTTCAGACAGACTGAAAACACTTCCACTAAATATTCAAATGGTTCACTCACTATCTTCATTTAGGTATTGCTCAAATGACATCTCAAAGATGCTTTCCTTGACTTTTCAGTCCAGAATATATTCTCAATAGGCTCTATTTATTTTAATTTTCTTTATAGCACATATAACTACCCAAATATCTGACCCAATAGCATGTGAGCCCCATAAAGGCAGGGACTTTGTTTAGTTCACTCCAGTATTCCCAGCACCTTGAATAGTACCTAGGACATGGATGGTACTCAATAAATATCTACTGAATAAATAAATGAATCAAGTCCAACAAGTCTGTGATGTTTAATTTTATATGTCAACTTGACTGGGCTACAGTACCCCGATATTTGCTCAAAATGTATTCCAGAGGGGAGGGTAGAGCTCAGTGGTAGATCTCAGTGGTTGAGTGTGCACCTAGCATGCACAAGGTCCTGGGTTATATCCCCAGTACCCCCATTTAAAATAAATAAATAAAAACCTAATTACCTGTCCCCAAAATAAATGAATAAATAATTTTTTAATGTCTTCTAGATGTTTCTGTGAGGGTGTTTTTGCTTGAGATTAACATTTAAACTGCTGTACTTTGAGAAAAGCAGACTCCCCTCCTCATTCAATTAATTGAAGGCCTGAAGAGAACAAAAAGGCAAGCGGGGATTCTGCAGCAGATGGCTTTTGGACTTCATCTGCAACATCAGCTAGTCCTGGTTCTACGCAGACTGCCTTTGAACTACAACTACAACTTTTTCCTGAGTCTCCAGCACCCGCTAGCCTCCTCCATCAGCTTTTGGACTTCCCAAACCTCCACAGCGGTGGGAGCCAATTCCTTAAAATAAATCTCTTTATGAACATACCCCATTCGTTCTTTTCTCTGGATAATCTTGACTAATACAGTCCGTAAGTCAAAGTGTGCTATCTTCTTTTACTAAAGAATTCTTCCCAGTAGCTTTCTACCCACTGGTTTCCAGACACGAGTCAGGGAGCTTAAACTTCTGCGTAGTTCTGTCAGAACTGCAGGTAATATTGCTCCAGGTGACTTTCTTCCCCATGGTCAGCTAAATGGGGACTGGAGAATGGGGGAGAAAGTAATCAAATACATTTTTTTTTAAGGTTATAGCCAATTACTGAGAAACACCGGCACTTAGAATTTTCTGGAGACTTTTTATCTCCCCCTCACACAGTACTATTTCATTCATATTTAGTGAATAGGAACGTTGATCTACATCCTAACTTGTCTATATTCTGGAATGGTAAGTACATAAACATCACACATATAAGGTATATTTATATTCTGGATTTTTGGCGAGTCCCATTGTATTTGTATAACCAGATATGACCACAGTTATAAAGTCTATGGGATGTGGTGTGTTTTCACAAGATTCTCCAGGCCAATGCTCCCCACCATGACCTTAAAAGTAAAAAAAAAAAAAGGTAAAAATTAAGAAAACAAAATTCCCTACCCTGGGACCAGTATGAAATCCTGCCCTGAGAAAGAACCGCTTTCCAGAATCCCCCAAAGCTTGAGGGCTGCCTCTCGGCGATAGCGCTCCGCCCCCTCGACGCTCCCAACTGGCGTCGAGGCGGGAGGAGGGCGCCCTCGCAGCCAATCAACATTCAGCAGGGCTCTTCTCCCGCGCGTCTTTCAAAGGCTCCCTATGACCCAATGAGCGGTTAGAGGCCGAGCCAGGGCACCGAAGGGCGGAGTAAGAAACAGAGAGAAGGTCTGATTGGTTCCAAAGAGACGCCTCGCCCCACCTCACAGAAGGATGTACCAATGAGCTGAGAGGAGAGGAGGGCTGAGTGCGGGGGCGGAGGCTGAGACGCCTGCGCCTCCCGAAGGAGGTGGCTGCCGGTCAGTACGTGGGGCGGCCAGCGATGAAGCCGGTGAGTCGGGCTGGGGATTGGAGGAACGGAGCCGCAGGGATGGGAGCGGTCCCGAGGCCGGTTCTTGGTCCCGGGGACAGCCCGAGCCTGGTCGCGGCAAGATTCGCGCAGTAACCGTCCAGGGTAGGGGAGGTGGGGCTTCCAGAACTGGCGAGAACGATGGCAGCAAAGCAACAGGGTCGGTGGCGGGCGAGGGGAAGATTGACATTCTCTGTACGCCTGTTGTAGGCTGTGGGCTGTCGTCTGCGGGGTCTCCTAAGCCTCATGACAGTCCTGACTTAGACGGCTGAGTCCTGTTTTATGGAGGAAACTAAGGCATAGAGAGCTTAAAAGGCTCCGTGCATCATTCAGCCTGATACCCCAGCTCCAAAGCATGTCCCGGGCTGCCCTGAGCCCCCTGGACGGGGAAAACTTCATGAAAGACGATTGCCAACCCCTGCTTGTGGGTGTGTGACCACTGTCACCATCCTACGGGGCCACCTGGCACTGCGTCCCTTTCCCTAGGGTTCAGAATCTCTGGGCCTGGAGGAGCGGAAACGTCCAACTCTGGGGGTTTATAAATCTGGCTGGGAGAGCTTGAGTGAATGGGCCACATACGTTGAAAATCCTGAATCATCAAAACTGCTTTAAAGAGAAAGAAAGAAAGAAAAAAAAACAGGCTTAAGGAACTGAAGCCCCACCTGACTCATATTACCTACCACCAAGGTTGACAACTCGTTGAAGGGCTTGTTTGAGTTGAATTGATAATAATACGGACAGATCCAAAGCAGCTCAAATCCATGGCCTAAACTGGTTCTGCAGTGTGAACTTGTAGTAACAAACAGGACCATTATGGATTATAGCTTCAGAGCTAGAAAAGACATTAGGCGGTTACACTTGCTAATCCCCATGTTTCCGTGTGGAGGAGTATCAGCTGTCCTTCACTCCTGGCCTCTTTCTACACTTGTCCCCAGAAGGCGAAGAGTGTGTGATCTGATCCCCGAGTTTGGCAGGAGCTGAACACAAGTAGCTCAACCCTTTCGTCCCTTCTCTTTGCAGAGAGTACTTTCTAGCGTGCTGTCTGCCACAGGGGAGCCCTGGGTTGTCCATCACTGCCTGGGACTGGGTGAATAAGTCCATTTCTGGAGTGAAGAACTGACAAGCCCACTTGACCTTGGCTTTAAAGCCACATCCTTCACCTGACACTCAGTAATAAAACTGATATATTGATCTCCATTTGCCTCTCTAGTGTCTCATCTCTCAGTTGGTTCCATCTAGGGAATAGAAGAAAGGTGTGTTTTTTATTGGTCCTATAAAACTCCAGCACATCTTCCATGTAGAAATGTTTCCCAGAGGACTGAGTTTCAACTCCTTAGGTCAGCACACAAAGTCCATCTCAATCTCTCTAGTCCAATGATTCATGAAGTTAAGGGCAGGTTATACTCCCATCCCCACCCCCACAACCAAACTACTGGGCTGTATGGGGGTATTCTTTTGAGAAATGGGGTGGAAGAAACTACTTCTTTAGCTTCCTCTCCTCTGCTCTGATATCGCAGTTCCTGCCTACAGTCAGCCTTCGGTATCCACAGATGTGGAGCGCCAACTGTACCTCGTTGTTTTATATAAGGGACTTGAGCATTGGTAGATTTTGAACCCCATGGGTGGGTTGGTGGTGGTGGTCCTGGAACGAACCAATCCTCCCCTCCCACGGAAACCAAGGGATTATACTGTACACAAGCCCTTTCTCTTTTTGCCTTAACTGCCTTAACTTCTCTGCCTAAAAACCTGTTCATCCATCAAAACCCAACTAACGGGTCTGTCCTCTGTGAAGCTTTCCCCAGCTCCCGAAGCAGCCAGTCACTCCTTTCTGGGCTCTAAAGTGCATAGTTTATGCTTCCATTTTAACACTTCTGACTTTCTTTAACCTATGTACACCCTGTCTCTCCAGCTGCACTGAAGGCAAGCTGTTTATTTTATGGACCTTTGCCTCTCCAGAGCTTGGCAAATTAAGGTGTCCAAGAAATGTTTGTGAATGAGTGAATAAATCTCCTCACTTTATAGTTTTGGAACACTGAGGTCCAGTAGAAACTGAAGTTACTTGTCCAAGTTTCTACAGTAAATGGCAGAGCCAAGACCAGAAGCCAGGTTTCTTGGTTCCCAATCCAACACTCTTTCCACTGCATAGTGGTGTAATTATTAATAGGATGGTAAATGCAATAGCTTATTATTGACATTGCTGATTTCTCTGATAATCCAGGTTGAGTAAATCGCAAATATGCATCAGCGTGTGTTTAAGCAAGGGTCAGCTATACTAAAACTGTAAATATTCTTTACAGTTATTTAACATAATGGATTTCTTTTGAAGCCTAGTTCAATGCAAACAAGTGAGTTCGACTCATCAGATGAAGAGCCTGTTGAAGATGAACAGACTCCAATTCAAATATCATGGTATGTGAACATTTCTAATCAGTGATGAGCTCAAATATTTGATGTGTATATCTATAATCTTTGTAAAATTTAGTCTACATATTGAAAACGGTTCTCTTCTGCTGATTATATAATTCTAATCTTAATTATTTATGATAGAGTAAGGTGTTTTTTGGGGGGTAAAGGGGGAGTAATGGGAGTTCCTTCCTTATACGTTGAGCAAACCATAGTAGAAACAAAGAGTTGAGATAGGATTGGAATGTTCTCCCATTTAGTACCAAAATCTTTTTATTCTTTTACGACAAAAGAATAGTGTACCAAACCTAGGATGAGATATCGTTTATCATTTATTCAGATCCTAGAACTGCTTGCCACAGTAATGCATCTATCAGCAGACCTTGTTTAAGATAAAAGCCATATTACCATAGATACAATAACAAAAACAAGTCTTTTTATATAAAATCAACTTCTAAATCTTGGCAGTGATTTATGTTTACACCAGATTCTCTCCAACCAGCAATCAAATGCTTTCTCTTAGCCTGTAAATCTAATAATCTCTCTCTTTAAGCACTGTCCATGCTGTAAGAAGAGAAAAAGAGTGTTGTCCCTAAAGTTCTTTTGTTCTGCTATCAGATAGCGATTATCCTTCATTTCCCCATCCAACTCCCTTTAAACTCAAAAACTCATCTAATTTTCAAAGTCCCCTCTCTTCCTCTAAACACATCTGTTTTATGGACAAGGTGAGCCTCTGCCCACTTTGTTCCTAAGTAAATTGGGAATAGAATTTCTGGAAATTATTTCATTTTAACCAGAATCCATTACCACAAAGAATGGGTGGCCTGTGGTTTTTATTCTATAACATATATCTGTTTAAGGAAGTCCTACAAAGAAATATTAAAATAGTAATGTAGGATGAATGCTGGGGATGAAACTGTCAGATGGACATTTTCCAGCTTACTTCCTAAGATTACTAATATAAAATATCTCAGGTAGCATGACAGGTAACCTAAGTGCACTTTATACTAGCTATAGGCAATCGAGGCATTTCTTTCTTCAAGGTAAGTTTAAATTAGCTTGCCACTCTTAAGATTTAAATTGTAACAAAGCAAATGATAGGTCCCTATTTTAAAATTTGCAGCCTTTCTAGGCCTTTTTGTGACCAATACATTGATATTTAACATGAATTTTTGTTCTATGACTACTGTAAAACTTTAAAACACCTTTGTTCAGCGGCAAACACATGTGTTTGTATAAATTTTCATCTTTAACCTTTTTTTAAATTGAACTAAACTGGATAATGTTTTATTCTTTTCAGGCTACCCCTGTCACAAGTGAATTGTTCTCAGTTTCTTGGTTTATGTGCTCTTCCAGGTAGGTGGCACTACAGGTAGCTTCCTACTGATATATTTTAAATAATTTTTTTGTCAGCCAACACATCATTCTCGGTACTGAGCAGTAAGAGAATTTCACAGACCAGCATTGGGAACTCACTTCTGGAAACTCTTGATGGGCTAGAGATAAAGGAACATAGATCCCCTCTTCAACTCATCCAAATCCACATTCATGGCTCTCCATTTCTGACTTACTTATCTTAATAAAACAACACTGGGATACAATGTAAGGCCAAGGACTACAGCTGGTACGTATTACAGAAAGGACACAGAATAAAGAGTCCTTAGATTAAGAGTTCCTTCAGCTGGAATCTATGAATCCGTGTGATTTATATTCCTAAAAATATAAGAAATTGAAATTCACATTCAAAATGGAACTGAACCACATAAATGATCATGTGTAATGATTTTCTACAGTAGCTAGATCTGTGTTTAAATATACTTGTTATTTATGACCAAAAACTGACTCTTTTCACTTGCCTTGTTACTACTTACAGGTTGTAAATTTAAAGACGTTAGAAGAAACATCCAAAAAGATACAGGTAGGTACAATATGATAGAACCATCTTAATAGGTTTTTTTTTTTAATAATACTGAAAATCTCTTTGTCAAAAAGAACAAACTGTAGTCTCTTCTGAATTTTCCAAATAAATTTTTGGTACTTCATAAAGTTTCAAACTATAGACTTACTCTAATATGTGAAGAGGTATCTGTAAAGGGCAAAGAGAACTCATCACTTACTGAACATAGTGCTGCTTTTCACTTATTGTTCTAGTTCTATACATAGAAACTGCATTTGAGGTTAGAATGTAAAAGTTAGAGGGAGATAAGCATGTAAATGGGAAACTGACATTGCAGCGCCCAGAGCTTTGAGCATACGGTTCTTTACAGACTTGACTGTGATACTGGAAATTAAGCCTGAGCTGGGAACACAGAGGTTGTAGTGAAATTGTCCAACCCAGTTAGAAAATTTAGAGAACCAATGTCTAGGTGGAAAAGATGGAATAGGATCTGATCTTCACACACCCAAGGATGTTAATACCACCATAGCCTCAAGTCTCATAATCTTACGTACATCCTGATAATCTACCCCAATTTGGAATTTATATTTTGCATAATACCAACAAATTCAATTTCTCAAATATATTCTCATTGGCCTGGAATATCTCAAGCCTAATGGTCCTACCAAGGTCCTTATAAAAAACCAAAATAAAAATGTATATATTGCTTAACTCTATATAGATTTTATAAACCTTAAATTTTTTTCTGGTTATCCCAGAGTATCAATTTGCTAATTTACTTCCTTTAATCTACCAATCAAAAAAAGATTTAAAATGGGCAATAGATCAGTTGACCCTTACAGTATTTGTGAAGATTTTCTGCTCTAGAGATACCCACTATGGTAGGAAATTTCCATTTGGAGAACATTTAAATCATAAGCAAAGTATCATTTAAACCATTGGTTCAAAAACCACTCCTGCACATTTGGTAAAGCCCTATTCATTTAGTCTTGCCTGAAAAAGGAGTTTCCAGTCTTTTTACCGAACCTTTTTCTCTTCCAATGAAATCTTAAAGGGAATCCAGTATACAAAACAGATGACAGTGTTTGATGGAGGAGAGCTACAATCTCCCTGCAGCACTTCCTGTGGTCCCACGTCAGGTTTCTTTCTAGGAAAGTTAAAATCTACATAATAGAAATTATCCAATGTGTACAAGAGGCAAATAGAAAATTACCTAGAAAATTACCTAGTCTCTTAAAAATGCTTAAGTATGTTAATTACAAGTTAAACCCTTTTAGAAGTACAGAAGTACAGTAGTACTATCTAGAGCAGCCCTGTCCAATAGAAATATATTGGGAGCCACAAATAGAAGCCATATGTGTAACTTGACATTTTCTAGCAGCCCATTAAAAAAAATAAAAACAGGTAAAAATTTTAATAATGTATTTTATTTAACCTCATATAGCCTAAATAGTATCACTTCAATAAATTTTACGTATGAAACAAATTATTAATGAGATGAGGCTTTTTTCTTGGTCTTTGAAATCAGATATGTATTTTACATTTATAATACATCTGAATTTGGACTAGCCATATTTCAGGTTCAGGTCTGGAGGGTCATGATGAAAGGTACTTTGTACTTAAATAGATAAATGTCCTTGAATTTAAGGGGTGCAGAGAGAGAAAGGGGGCTCAGATCAGCCAGAATTATTCATTTTGAACGAAATGCTCTGTCGTGACTATTGCCATGGAATAGAATGGCCTACAGTACAATCACTTGGTTCATATCATTATGCTGAAATTAGCTAAGTCACATGATTCTAATGCAGTAAATGCTTTACTTCCTAGAAACCTAGTCCACAAAATTAAATCCATAACGGTACGGTACAGCACAAATATAAGCAAGAGTACAAGATGACCATAGTGATGCTGGAGGTTTTGTACACAAAGCGGAGGGTAAACCAAAATAACAGAACCTTGAACGTAGCAAACATGGTTGATCTGATGAGACGAAAACAGGGGGAAAAAATGTGCTATCCTTCCTTCTCAGGAGTTTATTTTGAAATATTAGGTGTTTTAAAATTTAAAGCAGTATTTATTGTAAAAAAAATTTTTTCAAGAACAGCAGTATAACTGACATCTTAAAATCCAGTAAAAAGCATTTTGAAGTCAGGTTTAATTTTAATCACCTTTTGGTTCAGATGTTTCTAATTCCTATTTTGTGCTTAGTGACTTGGTTTTTACGTTAGTTTGAAACTGAATCAGTGTTGTTTTAGATCATCACTAAACACTTCAAATTTAATAGATTATCATTTATTTGCTTTGTTCAACTAAGAAATTTAACTCCATGTTTTCCCTCCTGACTGTATTTCAACTTGTAATGTTCTGTCCATGTGTGTCCTTGTGTATGTTGGTCTATTGGCAGAAGAACTAAAGAGCTATGGTATACAAGACATATTTGTTTTCTGCACCAGAGGGGAACTGTCAAAATATAGAGTTCCAAACCTTTTGGACCTCTACCATAAGTACGGAATTATCACTCATCATCATCCAATCCCAGATGGAGGGACTCCTGACATAGCCGGCTGCTGTGAAATAATGGAGGAGCTTGAAATCTGCCTTAAAAATAACCGAAAAACCTTAATACAGTACGTTCTCCTTTTCTCCATACGTGACATGAGAAATGTCCTAGTCAAAATGATTTCTTGAATTATTGCTTCCTTCTGCAGTTAATACCTGCCTTCTAGTTTGTTGCAAGATTAAAAGGAGGTGATGCATGAAAAGTACTAACACAGTGCCTGGCACAGAGCAAGCACTCAGATATTTGTCATTATGACTTTTGAAGAGTAAGGACAATAAGTGAGTAGATTTGGAAATGTTTAGAATAGGGTAACAAGCTTTTTTTCCCCTTTCCTTTTGTCTTAGACCTTTACTCATAATTTTGGGGTCATCTCCTTCCCCAAAAGGTGGGGGCATCCTTCTTGTTATGTAGCAACACCTTGCCTATTAGTTGGCCTTTCATTTGCTTAGAGGCTTCTAACAGCAAGAAAGTCAAAATTTTAAAAATTAGCAGCAAAGAAATCATCCCTAAAGCAATGAGCAACCCTAAAAACATGACTTACAAAGTATATTTGATGATATGAACTTGCTACCGGAATGAAAGAGGGACTCTCACTGTTTGCCAGTGGCTGTACCTAAGCTGCTGCTATGAAAGTTTAAAACGAAAAAAAATGAGAGAAGGAAAAAGTAGCTTGGAGGAAGGAAGAAGAGAGTGACAATCAGCAGTAGACAGTAGCGTTGCAAAGACTCCAGGTGGTGCTGGGGAAATAGCCATAGTTCTGCCAGAAGCAAGGTCCACAGAGCAGAGGTGAACAGGCCACAGGGAGAAAACTGGTCCTTCTCTACACGTATTGTTTTTTGTATCCTAATCTGCTTAATCCTTTCTGGAACAAGATAGAGCGTTAAATAGTGTAAAACCTCAAAAGCTCTAAGGTCATTGCTTTGAGCTGGAAAGTATACAAACTATACCAAATAACCAAGTAGTCTCAGAGCACCTAGGAAAAGGGCAAGCCTAGCCAGCTTCTCTCCTTACACCTAGAGCTCAGGGGCTTCATGCCCATAGTTCATGTTCTGAAAGCAAACCAACTGTACAAGGGTCTTTGGGGACACATACCCGTTTGGACCAGACTAAACTCTGATATAGAGAACTACAGCCTGCCGAGTAGGAGATTCATCCTACGCTCTACAGTTTCCAACCTTTCTCTATGGAAAAATAGGATCTTTCACCAACTACTAACTGTAAAAGCAGAATTTTAGAATAAACGCAAATGTCTATGCTAAATTTCCTGATAAAACTAAGAAAAAATAACATTAAGTAGTTAGATGGAGCTAGTGGAAAATATTTTATAATTTTTGCTTTTTTGGTGGGGGGAGGTAATTAGGTTTACTTCGTTATTTATTCTTAGAGGAAGTACTGAGGATTGAACCCAGGACCTCGTGCATGCACTTGAGCTGTACCCTCCCCCACTAAATATTTTATAATTTGGGGGCCCACTTTTCAAACCAGTTCTGAGACTTTTTTTTCAAATGGGAATTTTTTTTTTGAAAGCAGCCTCTACTGAAACATCACTAGAGATCAAATTAGCTCAGTCTGGAGAAGCTTAACACATTCTACTCCAGCAGGTTCTAGGAAACCAAACGCTCTCGATGTTTGACTATAAACACGATGGAAAGGTAGATGGGCAGTCTTGCATATGCTGAATGCTTCAGGCTCCCATAAAATAAAGCATCTGATGACTAGAAATTTTCATTGTCCTAGAGCTTTCAAAGGTGTCCCCACAGTGACTAAAGTTTGTTTGGACAAAGATGATTTTTTTTTTCCATTCTACCATCTTTGAGTGCTTCCATTGCCATACAGCGCTTGAGTTTATCCCTCAGACACAGGGTCTGGTTTTTTCCTCTGTTGTGTTGTCGACCAGTGCTATCTCCCTGGTTTTCCCTGGACATTTTTGTTATTCATAAAATCAGTGAACACTGCTTGCCTATTGTATTATGCCATTTCCTAGGGCTGTTGTAAAAATGTACCATTTTTAAAAAAACTGGGTAGCTTGAAAAACAGAAATGTATTCCCTCCCAGTTCTGGAGACTGGAAGTCCAACTCAAGGTGGCAGCAGGGCCACACTGCCTCTGAGGCTCTGGGTAGAGTCCTCCTTCCTCACCTCTTCCCGGCTACTGGTGGCAGCCATCAGTCCTTGAGGTTCCTTGGCTCAGGGCAGCATCACTCCTCTGTTGTCCCATGATTCTTCCTGTGTGTCTGTGACTTCATATGATGTTTCCTCATATAAAGGCACAGGCATATTGGGTTAGAGCCCACCCTAATGACCTCATCTTCACTTGATTGCATCTGTAAAGACCCCATTTTCAAATAAGGTTACATTCACAGTACCGGGGACTAAGACTGAACATATCCTTCTGGGAACATAGTTCAACCCAACCAAACATTGTGAATACAAAACACACCCTGAGGCACAGTTCCCACCCTCAAGGAACCCAGAGTTAACAACACTATCACTAAGTGTAGTAAGACCAGAACAGATGTATACGAGGCAGTACAGAGGATGGCCGTGGTTCCTGTGCAGGCACAGGGCCATTTCAGGAATGAAATTTGAGCTAAGTTTTGAAGGATGAGTAGGAATCAATCAAACAGAGGAGGAAAGATAAAGATACCAAGAGATATAAAGTGGTATATCTTAATCTTCAGAAAGCCACTAAAATGTTCTCGCTCTTTTCCCTTTAACTAGTAGATCCTCATCTCTGAATCAGGCCTCCAGCTGGGACACTTTGTAGAAAGCAAGCTCATGAATTCTCCAGGGATCAGTACCTGCTGGGTCCTCTGTCTCCCTTCGTTATCAATCACAAGACATGTTTCTCCAGCTCCATCTAGACCACACTACAGCACTGATGTTCATGTCATCAGCACGGAGTTAGGATCAGTATGCCCTCCAAGAAAGTTAGGAAGTATGTAATACACTTTTTTAGGATCTTTGAAACTGATTTAAATGGTTTTATTGGTTTGAGGATTAATCCTCATTTTTCTAGAAAATCCACTTCTACAGAACTGCTCATTTCTTCACAGTGCTGCATAAGAGCAGCTGACATTCAGTTACTTCTCAGTCTGCGCCAAGCTCTGTTGTAAGCATTACAAATGTTACCTCCTTTAGTCCTCACTATGACATGGGTACTGCTGCTGTCCCCATCTTAGAGGTGAAAAGGCCGAGGCCCAGAGAGGTTAAATAACTTAGGTTCACACATCTAATAAATGACAGATTCGGGATTCAGCCCCAGGCAGTGAGGCTCAAAAGCCCATGCTCTGAACCCCTGTGAGACACTGCCTCTGTACTCTTAGACGAATGAAGAGCTGCAGGCTTGTCCCATAGCCACTGAGGTTTTGTTTAGAGAAAAATGAAGTGGCAGTTGGTAAAAAGTAGTCTGATTTCTATCCAATTAGTAACATGTTCCACTCCTCAGATGTTTAAAGAGATCAGTGAAAAGGCCCTGCCTACCTTGTCCCTTAGAGGTGTTCAGAGCACCTCCCAACAAATAAAAAAGCACACTTTGCTCCTGATTAATTCAAATATATATATATATATTTATATATAAATATTTAGATTTATATATATATCAAATATATATATATATATATAAATCTCTGGGTACAAGGCACTGTGCTAGGTATTAGAGTAGAAATAGAAGGCAGAAGGAGCAAGTGTTTAGTTGTAATTGTTGGGATGCAATGAAAATGTACAAACTTCAAAATTGTACTTCCCTTTCAGCTGTTATGGAGGACTTGGGAGATCTTGTCTTGGTAAGAAATGTATTTCCATTATTCAGTATTTTTTTTAACCTCAAAGTAAGAAAATTTGTGTTTCTGGGCCATATGCTCACTTTATATAAAAATGAAACAAAACACAATATACGTCTACCGAGACCCAAAGGATTATTTAAAGCCCTAAATTTGGTGTTCCCTAGGAAAGCTTGGGTGGGAGTGGAAGGTATTTTCAGGACTGTTTTGGTGGATTCTGCAAAACATAATTTACAAGTCTTAGCACCTACATTCTTATGTTTTGTTTTATTTCCTAATGTTCTCCCTATGCAGGTATTATGTATGATACTGACTTCTAAACAATATCCATGGGTAACATAAGTATGAAAGCCAAAGTTATGTATGTTTAAACTTTTTAAAAATGTGTTTAGAAAAAGAAAGTTAATAAATTGCCACGTTGGGAGTAACAGTTACTCCTTTTAGGGTTGGAAAGTATCAAACTTATAGAATTTGTTTCGGTAACACTATCAAAATGAAAAGACAATCCACAGAATGATGAAAAAAATTTTTTAAACCATATAGCTAACTAGGGACTTACCAAGACTATATAAAGAATTCTTACAACTCAAAAAAACAAACAACCCAATTAAAAAATGGGCAAAGAATCTGAACAGACATTTCTCCAAACAAAATATACAAATGACCAATAAGCACACGAAAAGATGCTCAACATCATAAGTCATCAGAGAAATGCAAGTCAAAACCACAATGAGATACCACATAATACCCATCTGAATGGCTGTTATCCAAAAAATAGAAAACAAGCGTTGGTGAGGATGTAGAGAAATTGGAAAATCCCCGGCAGTACTTCTTCAAACAGTTAACCATACAGTTATCATATGAACCATGTATCCACTCCTAGGTATATACCCAAAAGAAATGAAAACATGTCCACACAAAACTTGTACACGAATGCTTAAAGCTGCATTATTCATAGTTAGAGATTTGTAGATACTGACAGGAATATATAGAGAATAGATAAACAAGTTTATACTGTATAGCCCAGGGAAATATATTCAAGATCTTGTAGTAGCTCACAGTGAAAAAACATGTGACAATGAATATATATATATGTTCATGTATAACTGAAAAATTGTGCTTTAGACCAGAAGTTGACACATTGTAAACTAACTATAACAAGAAAGAAAGAAAGAAAGAAAGAAAGAAAGAAAGAAAGAAAGAAAGAAAGAAAGAAAGAAAGAAAGAAAAGAAAAGAAAGAAAGAGGAAGAAAGAAAAAAGCTGCATTATTCATAACAGCCAAAATATGGAAACAACCTAAATTCCTATCAACTGACAAATGGATAAACAAAATGTATACCCATACAATGGAATATTATTCATCCATACAAAGGAATGAAGTATTGACACCCACCACAGTATGTATGAATCTTGAACACGTTATGCCAAGTGAAAGAAGCCAGTCACAGAAGATCACATATGATTCTATGTATATGAAATGTCTGGAATAGGCAAATCCATAAAGACAGAAGGTAGACTATTGTCGCTTAGTGCCAGGGTGATGGGGGATGATGATAAAAGCATACAGCGTTTCTTTTTGAGGTGATGAAAATGTTCTAAAACTGACTTTGGTGATGGCTGCACATACCTGTGAATACAGTAAAATCCGCTAAATTGTACACTTGGAATGAATTACATGGTATATGAATTATAACTCAATAAAGCTGTTAAAAAAAACTACAAAGGCAGTGTTAAACTTTAATTCAACCAGTCATTTAAATCATAATTTAACTGTCAAAAGTACAAACTAAAAGGCTTCAGTCTTCTAATTCATTTTGAACAGTTACACCAAACTCAGTCTTCTGCACCAACAGAAGTGTGAATTAAGTGTAAACCTATCATTAATGTATAATGTACTATAATAATACAACAAATTGTACATAATATACTATTTTTCTCTCATGTTCTATTAGTAGCTGCATGTCTCCTCCTCTACCTGTCTGACACAGTATCACCACAGCAAGCCATAGACAGCCTGAGAGACCTAAGAGGATCTGGGGCCATACAGACCATAAAGGTAAGGATGCTGACTGGTCAGGGACAGACTTACAAATACAGTGTAACACATCATCAAAAGGGCAGTGAAAATCCAAAGCATTCTATTATTCGTATATCACCTGTTTATATTTTGATTTTTTTAATTTACATTTTTAAATGTCTGGATGTCTGAAAAAGTTCAGTTTTCAAACAAAATGATGAAAAAATTTGAATTTCCCAGTTTAATCTTCTAGGATCCACTACTGTTCAGTTTTTGCCCATTCAGTTCTGGGAATGGGTCATCTCACCTAGAAAAATGAGATGGTTACTATAAACTTGGTAGTTTCCTCGGTGTACTTTTAACCAAAAAGACCTCATGAAGACCCTATCACTGTATCACCAAAACATTTAACAAGGATAGATGAATGACATATGAAAAATGTAAAGCAACGCTCATTATCCTTTGCTGTGGATAACCAAAGTGACGTCTTTCACATTTACTTTGCCTTGAACACCAAAAACACTGCCGAAGCACTGCCCCAAGGATATTATTTATCTGTAAATCTGTAAAGCTAACTTGCTTTCCTTTCCCAACTGCCTGGTCTCAGCTTTAGGACTAAGTCAGAGGAGCAGTTTCTGAAAACAGAGAAGCTTCCCATACTGTCTTTTAAAATCAAATGATGCTTCAAATTCAAGATGTTCTCCAAGATGTTCTCAAGTCTTTCTTTGAGACAAAACAAAATACATGGTCAAACATACATATATATTTATGTGTAGTGCATGTTTTACCTGCTTAATCTTGGGAGAGAATTAAGCCCACATTGATATGGGCTGCCCATTTACCACCTCAGCATTCTGCAGCAAACGTGCTTTTTGCATCTCTGCACTGATGTAAATAGCAGTGTGCAGTTTCAACTTTACGATAGTAATATAAATGAGATTACTGGTAGAATAGGGATATCCTCTGGAGAGCTATTAAATCTCCAAATAAATTATTTAAAGGTTTTTTAATTTTGCTTATCTGTTAAGATTAGTGGTTTTAATATTGACTATGAAAATTGTTCCAAACAGATTATCATCACAAAAAGCAGAAAACTAAGGCTTCTGTAAATTAAGAAATAGATTTTCTTGAATATACTACTGTTAATTGCTGCAGAAAAGTGCCTGCTCCCCTGTACTTACTCCCCAGGGGAAAAATACATTAGCAAAAAAGAATGCCTTCGTGGGTTATTTTTAATCTTACTTGCTCCTGCTGGTAAAGGGAGGAAGGATTTTACAGATTTATAAAACATTCCTCTGTATTTCATTCTACCTTCTGATCTTTAGAGATTTTTAAAGCAATAGTTTTCACACTGTATGTAGCTTTATTGAAAGATAAAACTTCCCCATAGGTTTTGTAAGTAAATGCCGCCTTACCCAAAAGGATATAGAATTGTTCAGCAAGTATTTTTTTGATTCCTGATCCCTGTTAGTATCATGACTACTCTCTAACTAGCTTTATACAATATTTCAATATATCTTTACTTTTTTCAGCAATATAATTATCTTCATGAGTTCCGGGACAAACTAGCTGCACATCTATCATCAAGAGATTCACTATCAAGATCTGTATCTAGATAAAAATAATTATTCCAAATAGCATATATATATATATATGACCATGTCTAAAATTTGAGTTCTCTAACATAATCTGTATTGAAATGAAATTACTACTAGTGTTATCAAATTGAATGTAAATGTATGTGTGCAGATATTCCTAAAGCTTTTATTGACAAATTTTATTGTGTCTCTTTCATCTCTTAATAGGAGATAGAAAAATTGCTATACAATTTTCCTTTTTAGAAATGCACTAGCTGCTCTGGTATATTTTACTTGGAGGTAATGCTGAAAAAAAGCATATGGAAAAATGCCTGACTGCATATTTTTACTTTTTACCACACTTTAACCTCATATTATTATTGGTAGCTTCTGGGTGGCATATGACGTAGTAATACATATGAAAATTGGCATGAGCCATGAAAAAAATTATTTAAATAACTCTTACCCTCTATTCCTCTGAAAATTGTTTCTTCTACTTCATAGACATACAGAACTTGAATCATCTCATCACCTCCCTCCCAATGCCATATCATCCCCAATAGGTGTTTATCCAGCATTTGCTGGAACATTCTCCCAGATGAGGAATTCACTGGTTCAGACAGCTGCTCTCTTTTTAGAGTATTCATTTTTTCACCCTAGGAACTACATGGGATGAATTTAATCCCTCTTTTACTTTTATTTTATAAAGCACTTTTCTACAGATAAACAATCTCCAATTTTCTCACTCCTTCACTTCACTCTATGCTATTGAACATGTCTTTTTGTCTTCAAATTCAACATTGAGCTAACGAAAGCAGTCATTTGTAGACAAAGTTCATACAGTGAGTCAGACCCACCTATTTAAGAGACATCAATGGTTTCAGAGCTACAGAGAGTCCCATGGTTCTCTAGCTACTGGTAATCACAAACGTCACCAATGGTCAGAGGCACTTCCACACAAGGCAAAGTAAATTTCAACACATAGTCTTTAAATAACCATGTAAGTAACCAAAAGTTGGCAATCACAAATGTCACCAATGGTCAGAGATACTTCCACACAAGGCAAAGTAAATTTCACCACGTAGTGTTACTAATCATATAATTACCAGAAGTCTTACTTTGTCTCTCACTCTTCTTGCTCTGGTGAACTAATGTAATTTCATTAGGGAATACTTTAAAACAATTACTAGTTGCTATTTGGAACTGTCAGACCAGAGAGCAAGCATGTACCATAATATAAAATCAGTATTTTTAATACTTTCATATACACAGTGCTTTTAGAACATAAGATTTTAGAAGGCTTTTAAGGTGGAAGAATCACATATCCCTATGGATTTCTTATCCAAGATAGTAAATGCCAAAAGTTATGGCAAGGAAGTTATTTTTTTAAAGTACAGGCTCCAATAACAGGTTGACCTTCCTCATGATTTTGGTATTATATAATTTAAATCACAATTTTCCATTAAACTTTAAATAGTCATTGAAACTGACATTACCAAACCTTATATTAGCTTTCTCCCAATATAAAAATATAGCTTATTCATGAATACTTAAGAAAATGGAGGAAAAATATCGACATGGACTAATCAAATCCTTTGATGATCAACTGAATTTTCAGAATGCATGCATCTCTAATTTCCTCTCCAAGTGCTAGTAAGCCTTCCACATTTAACATGCTTAACTACTTTAATACCTAGTATAAGAAGGAACATCAGTTACTCTATAACAAAGAAACATGGGATGTCACTACTCAAATATAGTTGTCCAATTAAGTTTAATAAAAATGTAATTCCAACATTCTTGGAAAAGCATTTTCTCAGGTCAACCTGCAGGACAGCCCTCAAAACAATGGGGTTGGGAGGTGGGAGGAGGCAGAGAGACCAGCTAGAGTCCTGGTCATACACAAGCCAGTTAGTTACTGAAATAGAATCAACACCCAGACTCAACTATCATCCATAAAGTACACAAGGAAACATTTGAGACAGTTTTTATTAAATGTACAAAAGCAAAATAAAGCAGGCAAGCTCTAAGAAGGCAGGATGACATAAGCGCATTGTCTTTGGACAGTGATACAGCACCATTAAGGTTAATTTAGATGTTAACAAACCATGAGCACAGACAGCTAACTACATTCTGTGTTTCCCTTAGTAGTTTTAAGGTCTACCTAGTCATCCATTTATTATTCAAGAAGTTTTTCTACACGAACATGGTAACCGAAGAAATTTAAATGTTTAGGGAAAGCACTGTATGGTAAAAGTTAACTTATCATTGTTTTCCATGTCAAGATGTTCTCTACATCTTCCACAATGTGCATTAATAAAATTAATGTAGGGTAAAACCTTCTTTCCAACGCCACAGGTTACCTTACATGGTTTTTTCCCAAAACCAAGCAGAACAAGCAACAGAATTGTTTACTCCTTTTAGACATTTAGCTTTAGAACTCTTAATTTTAATCAAAATAATTGTTCTAAGAAAGCTATTCAACATATCCAGAAATAGAATCACATTTTCTCTCTTGGCATCACCCTCGAGTATTAGTTCAGAACCATCTGCTGAGCTGTACAGTACTAGTGCCAGAGATTCATTAGCTGCTGGTCTCACCGCAGATCAATGACTGGTTTGAGCAAAAAAGCTTAAATTATTTGAGATTAACATTAACAGTATCCAAATATGGGTACTCTCATGAACAATGCTAGACAACATATTGATATTTTTATTTTTCCCCTTTGAAAAGTGTTGTTCTAAAATATATTGGCTGTCAAAACTTCTGATTTACAATTATACTATACAGCTGATTACTGAGAGATGCACATCTGTGTTACATGATGTAAACAGATTAGATACATACTTTTAAATATAGGTCATTTTAATGGGCTCAATATATCACACTTGCTATGATGGAGCCATACTTAAAGTGAAAGCCCACCCTCCTACAGGTGTGTGGAACCCACAGGAGCCACTCTTGGTGCTACAGCAATAATATTCCATGAACACTGTTCATAAATACATAACTGGAGGGGAAAAGTGTTGTACCAAGGAAAACAACTTGCTAGTTTCAAAGTGTATCTACATCTCTATTTCCTTTCTATGCAATTATCTGACATTTTCAAAATGTTGATCTGCGGAGCAGAGAAGAGCTCTATGAGAGCTACTACCATGAGTGATCCTCAAGCTGAAAAATACCGAACAGGCTTTCAAAAAGACACGTATTGCAAATTGCCATGCATTCTGTTGCTTTGTGTAAGCTCATTATCTGGGTATCTGAACTTGACTGGTAGGTCTGGCAACTCATGGTATAATCCATGAGGCTTCTCAAATGCTTTAGTTAATACCTGATACGTGTCAGAAGTGGATTGTCTGGTCATTTCCTATCACTACCCACTTCCCATGAAAAGCAATTCAAACTTCAAACAAATTAGCAGTTTATGTGCAGCCTGTGACCCAACTCTCCTTTACCCTGGGATAGGGAGTGACTATCAGTTAAATATCGTGAAAATCATCAAATGTTATTAATAAAATTCAGATTCGGACATTTAAGTAAGTTTCTACCCCTATACTCCTTAGCACTAACAGGACATATTGCCATGATACACTATTATTCAAATGAGTAACTGCTAAATAGACTACATTTGTTACATAGGACTTTTAATGGAGGATCTGTAGGACCAACAGCAACAGAGCTGCTGATATAGACATAAGCCACAGTGTGTTACACTCATGGTTTCAGAGGGTTGGAAAGTTCTTAAAGATAAATCAAAACACACAATAGCAAAAGTAACTATAACAAAGGAAAAAAGAATCCTAAATAAACAGCTATGGCTGCACAGGGTGGTCTGACTAAAGCTGGAAAGGATCACAAACCCAGGCTAACTAAGTTCCAGCTGGGCATGCAGGAAAAAAAGGAAGATGGCTAGGGGCGCCTAAACCAGATTAATGGGGGAAGAAATTAAACTCAGAGCAAGGAAGAGAACCAGCGGGATACTGTCAAATGCAAATATTAGGTTTGTGCTTTGTCTTGGTAAGTGACTTAATTTCATAAAACACTGAAATAGGTAAAGATGAGTAGATATTATGAGCGCATCCAGGTCCCCAACCTTCTAATCAATTACATGACAAGGAACTAACAACCTACTACTGAGATGGATGAACCTTACTGTCAAGCCATCTTTGAAGAATCAGCTAAGGACGACATATCTGATTTTTGAAGCATGAGAAGGTGGCTTCTACAAATTGCAAGCAGTAAACCTTGCATTAATCCTGGAGAATATTGTGAAATACATTATTAAAAGGATGTTTGTTAAAACTTATAAAGGGAAGTGGTGTTTGCTAAGAGACAGCAAGGACTCAGAAAAATGCTTTGGCAAGAATACAAAAGCAATGGCCCCAGGAAACCTATCTGAAGCATGGAAGACTTGGCCAGCTCTCTCATGATCAAAAGTACTTGTGAACAAGAAAGAAAAATGAATGCATGCTGCTACAATCGAGTGGATTAGAAACTGAATGGCTGCTTACACTCAGATCATGAGTCTTCAGTGCCTAGCAAGAGCTCAATAAACAATTTACTACATGAACTGATGAACAGTCAGATCCCTCGAGCCATTCTCCAGAGTACAAAATATAAGGTCGTTACAAAGCTCCTCTCATTATGAAATGGTTTGACTCTCCTTATTCTTCTGGTTCTACATCCTCTTCTTCAACATTTTCACCCCCATTACCCAATCTTAAAACAGTAACAGCCACTCTCCCAAAGGTGGGGAAGCATTTTTTCACTAGTAGAGAATAAAACAGCATCTAATTCAAGTGGTACTTAGAGTAAGACTTCCACAAACACATCCATAAACTCCGTTGATCATTATGTGGAGTTTCTATGTATACTGGTTTTCTTTCTTTGATCCTTTAAGAAACTTTGAACCATTTACACTATTTTCAATTGCCTTAACTTCCTCATCCCAAATAAAGCACAAGAATGCTTATGAAAACACACAAGCCATAATTTACCTGCTTTACAAGCAGCAGCAAAAACACAAATTTGTCACATTTTACCTTAAAACCTACTGTTTCAAAAAGGAAAAAAGTATTTTAAACATTTTAAGTTTCAAAATAAAAATTTTAATTGGTAAGAAAAATGATGGTGCTGTGCCACCAGTGTTTATGAATCTTGACCAGTGACAATAGATATGGTAATGTGCTTAACCATTTAAAAGTTTTCCTTTGTAGATCCAAGCATGGTATTAAAAAAAATGTAATACTTTACTATCTTTTTAAAAAACTGACAGCGATATGTCTTTATTTGGAATAAGCAAGTTTAAGAAATAGCTATTTGTAATCTTTAAAACAATGCACTGAAAAGTCTTAATTTCAGAGTTTTATTGTATTGCACTAAAGGAACAGCAGGATGGTTATACAACGTTCTCTCATTCAGTTTTGAAAATCTAAAGTACTTGCAAATTCTTAAGAATACCTTTACCACCAGACTAGAACAGTTAAGTATAATAACCAATTTGTTAATAAGTAGTGTCTCACAAATTAAAACACATTTAAAATGGCTTTAAATGCATTCTTCACAAGTAAGTCAGCATATATTTTTGTATCATGTTCACTTATGCTTAAGAATTAAAGCAAGTATATTACTCTGGTGGAAATAAGGGAAATCTCTCCTTCATGCAATATACAGGGATATTTCAAATCGAAGGGAAAAAAATCCCACTCTTCTTATTTTTTTAATGTATCCATATATAATCACCTACATGATAGACAGGAAACCCACGAAGTTTCCTACAGGTCAGATATATATTTTCAGATCATCAGAAGCACCTGATATCTACAGCTAATTTATAATTAAATGGCACTTCAATAAAACCAAAATGAGCCCTATGAGTTCCTATAAATGAAAGCTTCCAATGGACTAAGGACAGTCACTAATTAATGCAATCATTCAAGGGATTATGGCTGTTCCTTAAGGAGTGCAAGTTCAAACCTGTCAACACCAGAGGTGTCATTTTATATTAATTTATACGTAATTCCATTTAAATTCTTCATCTGAGTATAACATATGAAAACAGTTTTTCCACAAGCAAAAAATGTGGAAACATCTAAAAAATAAGGAGTCATTTTTTAAAGTAACTGATCAGATTCCATAGGCTACTCTTGGAAACAGGATCTTGCTGGATAGAATCCCCTTGTTTGGTGGCTTTTTGCATGCACTTAACTGGACCAGTTCTTCTGAGTGTTGTTCTAAGAGCTCACCAAAACATAGATCATGCTGAAAAAAAGAAAAAGGCTGTTAATTCAAACATTCTTAATTATAAAACTAAGAAAACCAAAAAGTTGAGTCTGCTTTATATAGCAAACTAGCTGGTGATATCACACCATCACAGAACTTGTTCACAATATGATTTTAATCTGCATTTATGGACTTTTGCCTAAGGTAGGATTGGCTCAGTGCATGTGCTGTAGTTGTCCCCTATTTCCTTTCCAATTTTAGCAAGAACAGCACAGCTGAAAGCTTAATGGGGGATCAGAGCTTAGAGAAGCAATCCAAAACAGCACCCTGTGTCTAACAGGAGTGAGCATCTCCAGGGGCTCACTTTATGCCAGGCCTTCTGTTACCTCCTAGGAAGCAGAGTAGGTACCAACATTATCCCCATTTTACAGAAGGAATGATCAGTTAAGGAATTTCCCCATTAGAGAAACACTCCAGGCAACAGCAGCAGAGTTAAAAAAAGAAAAGGGGAGAAGCAAGCAAAATAAAAGCCAATAACCATTTGATTTAGGCTGCTGGGCAACCCTACATGAAGAACATGTGGGAGAGGCGTGGTTCAAAAGCATGGGTATCTAAATGTAAATACAAAGCAAGGAGGTGAGCATACTTGATAGACAATTTAAAACAGAAATGAATGACATCTCCTGGTGAACATTTTCCCACAACTCGACATCTCCAATTTTATCATCTATTCAACAATTCATTTATTTTCCTTCTTACAACAAATATGTTTTAATTGCCTACTATATGCTAGCACTATTCCAGACATTTATTATGGAAACTTAAAAAAACGAAAATTAACAAATCAAGGGACACATGGAAGTTCACTTTTCAGAACTTTTTCACTATCTTTGTTTCATGTATGAACACCTGTAGATGCACTAAAGGACACTCACTTTTCACAAATCTCTAAAAGCATAAAAATACATTTCTCATAAATTTCAATCTAGCACTTCATCCTTTTCCATAATGGAAAGTTACATGATGTCAACAAGAAATATAAATATAAGCCTACCATTTAATACCGAGTTTTCAAGTAACAAAAAGGAGAGAGAATAGAAGCTTAATTTTTACAGTACTTTCATCTACTTTAGCTAATTTTCTTCATACTTTGATAATCAGGTGGAAAGCCCTCCAGCTGAATATATTCATCAATAAAAGATAAAAAAAGTGTATTTATATAGCTTAAAGAAAAATTTTAACTCAACACTTGCCAGTGTCCACTACCAGTGTCAATAAGCAGCCGATTTACTCCACCTAGAGTACACCTAGAACATTAGCTCTCAACTAGGGCTCATTTTGCCCCACAGGGGGCATCGGGCAATGCCCAAAGACATTTTTGGTTATTATGACTGGGGCAGGGTGATGCTACTGGCATCCAGTGGGTAGAGACCGGAGTTGCTGCTAAACATCCTACAATGCACAGGACTGCCTCACAACAAAGATTTATCCTGCCCAAAATACCAACAGTGCCAAGGCCAAGAAACCCTGACCAAGAGGAACCATGGTAAGAGTCCATCACTGTATAAAGAGAGAAAAATCAATAATCATCCTGTAAGACAGACCTGTTTCTTTCCTTCATCCCATTTGGAACATGCAAACCAGAAAATAAAGGGCAGAGAATAGTTTATGAAGAATGATAAAGGAAAAATTAAACACAATCTTAAGACAGATGTGAAAGCCAAGCAAAAGCCTCTTTATATCGTCACATGGCCATATCCTCTCAATGCCATCACTATGCCATGCAGAATGAGGACTGTTCTTCACTGACTGAGGCTTTGGAAGCAGCATCCCTGACCCAACTTTCTGCCTCTAACTACACACCAGTTGGCTGCCTTGACAAGTACCAGTTTATCAGATGTGTGTGAATTAGCTGGTGTGAACCACACCACTAGCAGTTATCACCATTCAAGACACTGAGTTATTCTTCAAGTGGATTTTAAGGCGTTCAGACCATAATGCCTGCAAACTTTTTAGGCAGTAAAGTGAAATCGTATTTTCATTTTATTTTTTAAACTTACCCATATAGGTAGTAAAAAAATGCTAGAAGATAAAAAGCTAATTTGCACCATCCTTCTTTCTGACAATATGCTAGAATATCTGCATTCATGATGGTTGTAGGGTCATAGAGTCCTGGTCCACTCATCACTGGTCTACTCATATACCTGTAATAAACACAGTTGATTAGCCACTCAGAATGGAAGCTAACCTTCAGGATGGAAAGGAGTGTTTTCCTTCTCAAATAATATTTGTTACAGTGAGAGGTAGTCCACATAGGGAAGCATATTTTTAGTTCTAAGTGGAGTTCCTTTCTTTTATTATCTTTATTTTAAAACTGGAAACCCTAAAGAGAACAGGACAGTTAAACAAGTCACATCTGGTCTCTTCTACACTTTCAGAAATCCAAGAAAAATAACTGTAAAAGGAAGTATGATTTATTTCTTTCAACTTTTTATTTTAACATAAAGAACACTTCACCAAGATATTCCAAATGTTCACATTTACCACATGGCTTTATCCTTCTCTTGTCTGTTCTTTCTCTAAATACACATACATTTTTTTCCTGAGCCATTTCAGGGCCAGTTATAGATGTGAAACCACTTTATTCCTAAATATTTCCTCAGTATGTATTTCCTAAAATCAACAGCAATGAGACTGTGATACGCCTACATAAAACAAAAAACTCTCACTCTGTACAGATCAGATATAACTTTCAGAAGTTATGAAATATGAGTATTTTCTATAAATAACCAAATTTAAAGTCATAAAGTAAACATGGAGAAGGAAGTAGACACACACCATACATTTTGATTTACATGAAGTTCAAAGATGGACAAAATGAATCTAAGCTGCAAATCACTGGTCCTCCTGGGGAGGTACAGGGCTAACTGACTGAGAAGGGGCATAAGGGACTCTCCTGCGGAGCGGGAACTGCTGTGTTATCTCAATCTTGGTGGTAGTTTCACAGGTGTGTAAACATATATAAAAATTTACCGAGCTGTACACTTCAAACATGCACACATCACCGTTTGCAAGTTATACCTCATTTTTTAAAAAGTCCTTTAAAGAGTAGTAACATAAGCTTCACAAGAGGTATTAAACAGTTATTTGTTCATCCACATGGTTTTAAAAATAAATGCCAACTAATTTTCAGTTTTCATTTAGGTGAGTAGCATGTGATAACCATATCAACCAAAGTATAATTAAAATTTAATTAGGAAAAGTATTAGAAGTGTATCTAAATATTACCTCCAAATATGATATGCCAAGAGGGGCATATTGAGACCCAGTGTAAGCCACTCTGCTGCACAAAGAAACATGACACAGAAGAAAGCATGGATGAGGTACTCTGGAAGGACAAGCTGGAAGAAAAACACAAGCCAGTTATCAACATGCCTTGGCATTAAGTCAACTGCTAATTTGGAAAGGAGGTGGCAACTAAGTTTCCATAAAAAAAAAATCACTGTTCTCTTAGAATCAGAAATCAAAGATGCTACTGAGTTTTACTTTCATATTTAACTTTCAACCAAAAGCAGAATTACCAGCAAACTGACCAGAGGATATAGCTTGTACTAAAAGAATAATATATAACTTAAAATTTAAAACCTGAATTCTTACAGCAACCAGTTAAATTGAAGTTACCACCCAGACTGTTCAAACATAGTTATTTGCTAATCACTTGGAATATTTTTTATTTCCACCATTCAAGAATGATAAAAATACAAATATGAAGTATCTGATCACATGCAACATGATATTAAAAAATCCACAAAAACAAAACTTCCCTTTAGAAGTTTAAACATCAGTGTTTTTAAGCCTTTAACAGAAACCAGGGATGCTACATATACAATATTTAGCAAACCACATAACATTACCACAAAAGTAATTTTTCAATGGAAAGCCAACAGCCAATAATCTCAGCACAGTCAGGGGGGAAAGAACACTTATATGCACAGATGAAAACAATGTGCTTTCTGCAATGTAGGAGGGAAAAGACTGAGATCTGAACCATGAAACAGGAATTCTCCGGTTCCAGAGCTCCATTCTTACATGGCCTGGTTCTTTCAGCCTGCTTTCTCCAAGGAAGTGCTACAGACACAGCAGACCAGTAGAAGCTCAGAACTCAAAACCAGATACATCTTTTGATAGTAGGTAGTATTAAGTGAGGAAAAATTAGTTCAAGCAAAATGTTTTTATAAAATGATCAAGAGTTCATGCTTTACTTTAAAATATCTTTCTCATCCTGAAGCTCTCAGCCTAATGACTCTGTTAAGTAAAAATACCAAAACCCTTCTTTGCAAGTTTTAGCCAAAGAGCTCCTACAAGTTATTAGCTGAAAAGCCAATTTCTCAAATGTGCCGACATTGTTACCAAATTAAAATTATGTGAATCCTCAACATCATCAGGTATTTCCTGAGGGGAAACTAGAGCTGTAGAAGTAATATACTACATATTCAAGCCCATTTTCTAATATTCCCAAATTAGTTTTTCTAGTCCAAGCTGTAAAGCAAAGTTTTTAATGAGTACCATTTTAAATAAAATCCCAGTAATACCAATTAATCTACACCACTAACCAGATATTTTCTATAAATTTAAGCAATATAATAACAAAAGATAAATTCTGCACATATATATATAAACACACATGTAAATAACATGAACTGTTAAGCCAGCATTTAATTAAGATCAAAGTTAAACATCTTCAAGAAAACAAGAAAATATCCATAGGAAAATCTTTGAAATGCAAAGACTACAACCAAGAAGAATATACATTTAATTAGCAGTTCCCCTAGAGCTGCTGTTTACAATAGTAGTTTAAACTATAAGACTTTTCTTTAAAATACAGTAAGTCTATGTCAGCCTTCTAAAACCAACGGATACCTAACAATACAACTGGCCACACTTCCAGACTAACATACAGGAAAAAATGATATTGAAAGCATGATCCCTACTGCTCTTAAACAATATTCTTTAGTAAGACTGATAATAAAAATCTGCAACTCTACCAGTTCTAATACGAAACAAACACCACACTCCCTCCCTTCTCCTCAAAAAAGTCCAGAAATTTTAATAATGCATCTCTTATAAAGACCAGTCCTCTCCAGTCATTCTTTAATGACAAAATTTCCCCGTTAAGTGGCACAAAATTATTCCATTTAGGAACCAACATTTACACAAATACTAGTATCCAAAAAAAATACTTCATGCAAATACAGCTGAAATGACAGTACTTAAAACATGCAAATCATAATATTCTCTAGTTAAGGTTCACATTTTAAAAAATAATGGTATTTCTCTTCCCCCATACTTTGACAGAATTGTCAAAACAAATTTCAATAGGGAAAACTGTCAGATGCACTGCTGTTAAGCCAATTATCGGCACCCTGTCCAAAACACAACTTGTGCTGGTATAGAAACTTCCTTGCAATCCACAGCAGCATTAGGATGTCCAAAGCACAAAGTGAGAATTTCTTTCCATTAAGAAAAGCCAGAAATCACACATTATATGTTGAAATGAAATTAGTCCTTAAATTTATAGTAAATTAGGAAAATACAAGAATTTGAGCTTAAAAATCAGGCTGTCTGGGTTCGATTTCTGGCTTTACCTTAGCTGGATGACCTTGGGAAAAGTGCTTTAACCTCTTTAGGCCTCGGTTTACTCTCCTATTCGTGAGTGTAATATACCCACCTCTCAGGAGTGTCATGAGAACTGAATAAAACAACCCAAGTAAAGATGCTTAGCACAGAGTCTAGTACCCAGGAAAGCCCTCATCTGATTTCAGCTATTATCATCATCATTTGAAATAATGAAAAGCCAAAGAAGATAGAATACTATTAATAAACAGCTGTCAAAAGGAGAAATGTCAGTTTCTTAATTTCTCAGTAACAATTTCAAAAGTATGTTTTACAATGAACATTATTACTTTCCAATGAGAAAGCAGATTCATCTCATATTTTGCTTCATAAGAGCAGAGAAACAGAAAAGTTAGTAATTTTAATTGTACCTACATCAAGTCTCACTGTAGCAGTTCTTAAAGACAAACTAGAAATCTATTCCATCATGCCTAGTTATCTATCTATCTATCTAGGAAACAATGATAAAGTAGCAAACTAATTTTATAGACCCTTTCCAAATAAAGTCCCTCTAGCATGCTAGCGCATTATATAGCTTTTCGTAACTAAAGTCTATACATGTTTTCATCTTCATTACGTAATTTTTAAAGGTGAATTATTATATTCTATTTCTTAAAGACATCCCTACTGCTTTCTTACAAACAACCTTTCAGTTTCTGACCAATTAGGCAAAAATTAAACCTACAGGCTAAAGGAGAATCTTCCTAAATGACTAAACTAAATGAAGTCAAAATTATATACAAAACCCCTAAGCACAATGGGGCCACATCTTAACTAAACCCATCAGAGGTCAGAACTTAGTGTAGGACAGATCTGTTTTAGAAACACTATGTAGGATTTACATATAAATTGTTATCCACAAAATTCTGACATGAGTCAAAGGTCAGCATTACTGCAAGATTCCAGAGCCTAACAATACGCACAGCTATTCACCTAAAAGGTTCTGAATAAACATCAGCTGTAAGAGTAAATTAATGAATTCCAGAACAGACATAACCAAAAGATAAAAGCAGGTATGATACCAAGGACTCCACCTGCAGACGACTTCAGAAAAGTCCCAACAGAAAAATAATTTCACTATTAAAGTCATTTTATGTTAACCAACTTTCAAACGCTACACCAAATAATTTAATATCAAAGTGCCTATGGCTATAACATTTTTTTAAATGCATGAGCATTTAACAGCTTTCCCTACTTGACTGGGCCAGCAAGCAAACATTTGCATAAAATATGAAATTTCATGAAATCATAAACCTCAACAGGCATATGAACAAGCACACTGAACAGAACATTTTACAAATACAAATGCCCTAACCCTCCCCATGAAATGAATGTAGCATTAAAACATTTAAACTAAAAAGCAGTACACACCTTTAATGCAATTTTGACTCTTTTAATCTTTTTGACCTTTTCAACTGTCTTTGGCCGACAATGTAAAAAGCAGATTGGAAGAATGTTAGTATGACAGCTGACAAGATCACCAGCAGATTAATAATAGTCAGAATAGTCAAGCAGGACAGGAAAAAGAATATTTTTTAAAATTCTGCCTACTTTATAAAGTACAAATATATCATGATACTGAGAATATTGGCCATTTTCAAATTATATCAAGTTAAAAGCAAAAACAGTTTAAAAATCTAGAGAAAAACATATTATAACTTACAGGATTCAGGGTATTACACTGATCTATAGGATTCTTGTAATCAGTCTTCAGCTCATCAAATGCTATAATCTGAAATAAAAATAAAAAGTTAGGATCTCTCTCTTTAATAACAAGCCAGCAACAAACCTGTTCCATCAAATAATAATTGAATAAAGTTAACAGAACAAAAGCAAAAGTGTACCAACATCACAAGCACCAATTTACAGTAAACTAAGTATGTTATAATAAATAACAAGAATCACATTTAAAGAACTGAAAACACTTTTATATTATCACTAAAATGAACTGCTATCAAGGTGGTAAAAATCTTCAGTATTCAACTTTTTCAATGCCTCCATTCAAGTTACTTTCTCTTCCTGAAATCTTTCCCCACCCACAACTATTTATGGAAACTCCTCTTTATCCTAAAGAACACTTGACCTATGTCAGCTCCTCCATGTATGTCTCCCTGACTCCCTTGGGCAGAAGTAACTGCACGCCTGTCTAATTTCCACATAGCACAGGGCTTTATAATGCTACCAGGATGGTATTTCTCACACTGGAGAAAAGGTTTATGTACAGGTTTGTGTCCCCCACTAGACTGTGTGCCCCTCAGGAGAAAGTGTTTTAATCACCTGTGCATGTCCCTCCCTCGTTACAGTGTTCAGTGGGACAGGAGAAATGGACTCACATGCTTCAATTTGTTCCCATTTCTGCCCAAACACATACTGCTTCAATCTGGAAATGGAAGAAATGGCCTCAAAATAGAGGAATACTAAGAAATGACTAAACTTCATGGCCAGGACCGCCCCACACAGCAGTGCAGTTTGGACAAAGGGCCAGGTGGTGGCTCAAAACCAGCCCGGTCCTGCTGCCCAGCACCCTGCATGGGCTCTGCACCCAGGCACTATGTCTGTTCAGGAGGGAGGACTTCCCTAATTCTTCTGCCTCAAGAGGCATCTTGCTCTAATTCACCTAAAGGCACCATATAGGCAAGAGCAGCCCTGTTCAAGACCAAAGCAAAGGTGACCAATTTGACCTCCTCTGTTGATCTGCATGTTCCTACCACATGCAGGTTCTTTCATGTGGTCACCAAACTGAAGCCCGAAGAAGGGTAAGCCCAACTAAGGCCAGCTTCTCATGGTATGACGAGTAAAACAGTTACAAATGTGGTAAGGGGAGAAGGATCTCATCTACTTACACGGTAAGAGTAAATCAACTACACTTTAATATAAATAAAGAAATAAATACATAAATAAATAAAACCATACCATTTATTAAACAAAAGAAAGCAAGAATGTTTCTGTTCTACTCTTGAGAAAAAAATGTGGCTTTAACAACAGAACTTCAAAGTCAAAATGCACTAAAAATCAAGTAAGGGTGACACATCACTTACTGGTGTAAAGTGTCAAAAGAAGAAGCCAAAGGCACCAAGTTTATGGGGGAGCTATTTTAGTTGCTGCCACTAGTCACACAGGGGACAGAGACCGTAATCTACCTTTCCTCTGGTGGGTCAGCACTAGCATCTTTATATGCTAGACAGGACTACTCAATATTACCAGTGATCAGTGGAGTCCTATTTCTAGCTTTTAATATGCTGATTATTTCCCTGTTAAAATTCTTAGCTTCATAGAAAGATGAGTTTTTCTAATTTCTAGACTTTTACAAATTCACCAGTCTGACCTAATAAAAATTCTAAGGAAAATAGAAATAGAAGGAAAATAATTAAACATTAAAAAGTAAGTTCCATGAGAGAAAAGATTTTCGCTGTGTTCACTGCTATGTCCCAGGGCCTAAAATAGTTCCTAGAACATACTTAAGTGTTCAATCAATATTTACCAAATGAAAAGGGAGAAAAAAGAAAAAAAGAGAAAAAACAGCCCTATGCTTAAAAAAACTACAGAACTCACCAAAAGTCATTTTTCTTTGCTAACGCCCCCTAACACATATAAACAGTATAAATGTATGATTGGAAGATACTAATTTCTGATTACTTACGGACATTACTGGTCAACTACCTGACATCAGCTGTGACATATTCCCAATGCATTTTAGTAATAAAGTTTAAGGCAAGGACTGTGATTACAAATACAACTAATGCCTATAACAAGGTCCAATTTAACAGCAGAGTACAAAACCTATGCTTTAAAACTTTTTTTTGACGGGACGTTTTCTTCATGTGATTTCAAATGACCTTTGAATAGCATGCTGCTATATGGGTTTCTGTTTGAGTGCTATAAGCTAGAGTTTCCAAAACTCTTCTGAAAAGATTCTTACACTGGTAGTTTTCAAATCTTTTTTGACTGTGTGTCTGGACAAAGATGTTCACAAACTTTTCCAAAGAAATGCAAAAACAATAAAACAGATAAATCCCTAAAGGTAGCAAACTATACAATTCAGGATACCTTTAAATTTGATGCACTTCTTTAGGGAATGACTTCTGCATTTTTAGTTTTCAAACAAATCTATTCTCCCATCTCTCTTCTCCACAGAGCAACAATCACATGAATTAGGACTAAACTGACTGATGTAACCATCAGCACAAAAAAATCCTCCATACAGCGTTTTAATGTAAACAGGATTTTTTAAATTTATACTTGAAATTTCCAAATGAGTCTTCTCACAGACACCTAAACTACCTAAGAAAATAAACTGATGGTTACATAGTTAATAGAAAAATTAAAACTGTATCTTTATTTAGAATTTTCGATTTGTTCCCAAAGGACGCATAATCCTCTAAACTACTAAGCAATCCCTAAGGACAAAAGCTCGCCACTAATCTGTGGAGTACAAACAAATTTTTAATTCTATAATAGGGCTTAAATTTATCTACTTCACCCAGACACATATTCATTTCAAAGCTGAAACTAAATTACCCAATTTTTTTTTTAAAGTTCCATTCAGGTTTTCCTTAAACCAAACACAACCTAGTTCAAAATGTAAGCCATCCACACCTTTCTAAGAATCCTCATCTCAGAAAACAAAGAGTGCCCATCAAGCAGGAAATGACTGAAATCCTCATCCACAGATGGCAGAAAACTACACATTTCAGTTTCATCAGAGGCTTACTAAGGCGGAGCTAGTTTGTATCCCAAATTATCTTCTTTTGTTGTTTAATGGAGGAACTGTGCTTGAACCTATCTTTATTTATTGTCTTTAGTCTATCAAAGAGCCTAAAATGATTTTCAAGTAATAGGTTCCTACTGACAAGCATTCTGAGGGAGCAGTTACTTAACAGCCTACAGAAGCATTCCCCACTACATAAGCAGTTTGGTTTAAAATAATCATGAACGTAATCACATTCTTTAGCAAAAGGGAATGGATTTGAGACACTGCTGCCATATAATCACTCTTCCCCTTTATATTCCTTAACAAATCCTTGTTATGGGTATGATGAAAAGTGACTTAAAATTTACATGAGTGAACATGCCCAAACATTCAAATTAAGACCAATATTCCAGAAAGTACCAGAATATGGGAGGGCAGAGCAAATATAAGATAAATTTTTAATGAAAACTGATTTCCAAAAGTCTATTGTGTCAGAGAAACAGGAATCCTTAAAAATCTCTTGTAGAACTATTTCACAGGGAACTTATTTGTTCCTTACAGGGAACAATAAAGATGTGCTTCTGTCCTGAAACATGATGTGAGTAAAAGGAGGAAAAAAAAAAAAGCCCTAGTGAAGCCTAAGGTTTCTGAGCATTTTCAAAACCAAATTAAAGCTACCTCTAATAAATAAAGCTGCCCTAAATATAGAGGTGGCTAGGAAGACTGTCTCTAAAGAAACTGATGGTCAGAGTATGATTTATGAGAAAAGTTTGGAGATGTGGTCAACAATCAATTTAACCTGCATCAAAGTTCACCAGGAAACAAGAATCCGGGGGCGGAGGCGGGGGGCGGAATTCTGCTTAAACAGCACCCAACAAGTGTTGAAAAGTAGAGTTAGGAATTCATCTAAAGTATTTTTTGTAATTATCTCATTATGGCCATCCTCCTGTGGACACCCGAAAACAAAGGCAAACTGTATTAAATGATAATTCGGCAAGCTTCATCCCCGTAGCACCGCCCTTTGCGACCTTGCCATCCC